TATTCTATTTTGAGACTCGAGTTGCCCCTTGGGCCATATTTTTATCAGTTAAGTTGTTTATGTCTTTGCATGGCATTGAGTTATTCTATTGAGTCAGGTTTCCGCTGAGTTAAGAAAGCCAGGCCAAGGGTTCGCTTGGGGCCAGCAATGGTCTCCGAGTGCCGGTCCCGCCCAGGGTGTAGGCTCGGGGCGTGACAGTATAATATTGCAGGGCCCATTTTGGAGGGCAACACTCCTAACATGATATTTTTCATTTTTAAGGACTCAAACTCGATTAAGAATAAAGTCTTTTTTGTGTTGAAGCGAGGAACAAAGGAAGTCCACTCCTTAGCCCAATAACTTGATAGGCCCAGTAAAATGATGGGTCTCATCAATTGTGTATTTGGGCCTTTGGGAAATGCTATTGCCACTTTTTATTTTATTTTATAAATTATAGGAACCACATATTATAAGTACTAAATAACATCATATCCCTTCTAGTTTTCTATTTACCAAAAATCCCTTAAAAATGATGTTTGCGGGATACTAGCGTTGTGCACGGGATACATGCGGGATACATAGCAGTGTGTACGGGATACATAGCGTTTGATACATTCCACATAGCGGGATACATAACGTTGTGCACGAGATACATGCGGGATACATAGGTAAATAAGGGATTTTTAAATTTTTTGAAATAAGTAGGGATAAATGGATATTAAGGTAAGTAAATGAGTGTAGTTAAGTAATTTGTCCTTTTTTTCCCATTAGTATCCATATTGGAACTTGTAGACTGCGCTTCGTGGTGCGACAGAGTCCGGGCACAACGGGACTCTCACCTTCTCTGGAGCCTCCTTTCAGGGGACTTGCGCCCGAAGCCATTAGGTCAAGGGCACGTCACGCATCGCGTCGCCCCCGCACACTGCAAGGCATTGCACGGGACGGAAGTTGGCCTCCCGTGCGCCTTGAACGCGCGGATGGACAGACTAAATTCGAATTCGCGACGAGAACAATAAAGAGCTCCCTAACAAAGACTACCAATGGGTCACTTCTCATTCAATTGTACTGAAACATCAACAATATGTTCACTGCATGAAACATAACAATTTGATTTGAAATTGAAGTTTTGTTTGGACATATAATAGGAATTTCTTAAATTGTACTCATAAACATGAAACCCCCATAAGTTGTGAAAACTATCAAAAGTTATCTAATTCTTATATAATCCTACCAAGTAAGCAAATCGTAATTTATAAAAAAGAATTGGTATATTCAAAGGTGATACATTGATAAATAACATATCTTCAAATTTCTTTTATAAATTACGGTCTTTGATCACAAACATCAAAATACACATAATTTTATAAAATTCACTAATGACAATAGCAATAACTAGCTATACTTTAATATAATTCTATCTTATGATACACATATCTCTTTAAGGCAACACTACAATAAATTTGGTCTACGGCCACACTAATTCTAAACAACACTTTAAAAGTGTTGTCAAAAGTATCTAAGGTAACACTTTCAAATTGTGACCTTTGTACAATGCTTTTGGTAACGAAGTCTTTGGCAATGCTCTTGAAGTGTGCTCTTTAAAATTATAGGCTTCACCTTTTAAGTGTTGCCAAATCAGAAAATAATTGGCAACACTCATTTATACATATGGCTACACTTTTAGTGGCGGCTATGTGTTGGCGGCCACAAAAACATACTAAAATTTTCTAATAAAATTTGGTTGAAGAAGTATTAATGGCGACCTATAAGATGTTGCTGCTAAGTTCTTTGTGGCGACACCGTTGCTACTAAAAGTTGGTCTTTTGCGGCGATATTTTATGCCGCAGCTAATTCTTTCCTTTTGATATTCAACATTATTTTCGTTTGAAAATCACATTTTTATAATACTTGTGGAGAATTTAGTTTATCGTATATTTGGTCTTTTATTAGGAATTAATGGCACCATTTTTTATTTTTTCAAATGTGATTTTATTTTTGTCTTTCTAATATTTGTGAGGTTGTTTAAAATATATTATTTTACCATATTTTCTTCTCTTTCCATATATTTCAGAATTATTTCATTTAAAAATATTATAAGATAATTAATTAATAATTTAAGGAAATATAACATACGATAATTTTATCTTAGTATAAAATCTTTTGATGATTAATAAATGACAAAAAGTTCCATAAACATTTTTAAAGGACTTCATGTTTTTAAATAATATAGATGTTAAGTATAGTGTAGATAAATTTATAAAGTAATTTTCATAATAGTTTGAATATGATTTTAATTTCTTAAATTAGATAAATAAAAAAAACTAAAGGCGAAAAACAAAAGATATAAAAATATAAAAGAACCCTAATTTCCTCCTGTTTAAAAATGAGTAACTTTCACATATAGCAAACACAAAATTCATATTTGTATGCTATAACAAAGTCTGCATAATTGCGCTCCATAGCAAACATATATATATAATTCGCTATACATATACAAAAAAACAGTTGTATAGTTCGCTATACATATACAAAGAAAACAGTTGTATAATTCGCTATACATATACAAAAGAAAGCAGTTGTATACAAAAGATCAATTGTATAATCTGTGTATGTATAAAACGAGAAAGAGAGAAAGGCAAAAGAAAATTGGGCAGGAAAATATTTGTATTGTATAATTATAAGTGTATAGAACGAAGATATATGTATTTGCATGTGTATATACAATTTTCTCTCGCTTTATATAAATAGAAGCGCAATTTATACATTTCGTTTCTGTTTGTATAAGCGAGAGAGGCGAGGGTGGTGAGCGAGATTTGGGAGAGTGGCGAGTGAGATCTGGGAGAGAGGGGAACGAAAATATATGTATATATACAATTTCCTCTCGCTTTAAACAAATACAAACGCATTTTATACATTTGTGTTTGTATAGAAGCGAGAGAGGTGAGCGAGACTGCTACCAAACGAGAGTGGCGAGCGAGATTCCACCAGGGAGAGTGACAAAAATAGTAATAGTTTGTTATAGGGTACAATTAAATCAAAGTATATTTATAGCATTTAATTTGAATTAATAGTTTGCTATTATATATAATTTTTCCTTTCAAAAACGCAGACATATCCCTTTTTCCCCTAATTCCCTTCTCTCCTTACACCAAATCCCTCTTCAATTTTGTAGGAAATTCGCCGCTTTCTTCCAATTTTTCTTCGCTGCGGTGATTTCTAAATGCTATAAAGCCTTGTGGACTTTGCTCGTCTCCGAAGTTTGACAGAAGCAGCTAGACACGACATGCTTTCTCTCTTGCAATGGGTGAAAGGTATCTTGTTTGGGGTTTTCTTTTTCCACAAATCTTATTCGATGAAACCCAATATAGTTCTTATAAGTTTTATTTTATTTGATCATTTTTGTTGGGTTTCCATTTATCTTAGAAATAATATTTAGTTTAATCTTCTAAAGTTATATGCATAATGGATTGAGTGACTAAAAATGGAGGATGCCAACAAGAATGGCAAGATGTTGAGAATATTGTGGTAGAGTAAAGAACTAAGACTTCCAATTACAGTTTGAAAACTTATGGGTATGCCATTGATGACGAACGGTCCATGGAGTCACTGTTTGTATTTTTGTAGATATTGTTAGCGTGTCACTCATTTTGCTCAACAATATATGAATTGTGGGTTTTTGAATTGCATAGGATGGATACTATATCTTACAATAAAAATATTTATTTGTTAACTTCTACAATATGAAATTATGGCTACATGTTTTTGCATGATCTGTTTGTATTGGCATTTAGAGAAAGCTATTGTTTCTTTGTATGCAATAGATGTCATGGTAATGAGGTGAATCTATCTAAATTCTAAAAGGTTAATCATAATTTGCTATGAGGATAAGAGTGAACATAATTTTTTTTGTGTTTTTAATGTTAACTAATTGAATTTTAGCATGATTGTGAACCAATGAAAATGTGTTAGGAGATTCTACACTTCCGTTGGTCTTTACTAACTTGGTCATCTACCCGTTGTTCTAAACTAGTTTATACAACACTTCAATATTTGAGAGTTATTTGATTCCATTTTATGCACTTAATTTGGAGACTTGAGAGTTGTTGGACTTAGAGGCTAAGATTTATCCAGCGAAGACTCATTAAGAGTTAATTTTGCCTTATGTGTCCCACTATTTAGGATAGCACAAATGCAGAACTTTTGTTTTAGCTTATTAAACTTGTATAGAACCTGTGCCTTCCATCTTAAGCTTCCAAATTTTTGAAACAGTTATATGTTTCCTATCTAGGAAAATCATTTCTATTCATACTTTCTTCAAAAACAAGTAATGAAAATTTATAATCAAATAGATAATCCTATTGTAGTGTTAGTTAAACTATGTCTGAGGGCTATCTTAGGATATAAGCTTTGAAGGATGCTTGATACCTTCCTCTCGGAGTAAATAAAACTTACCTAGAATTCTAAAGATTTTGCAGAGTAAAACAGAATAGACATCTGACATGTTAACAAAGCTAGTGAAACTCCTTTATGTTCTTGGACAATATATGTAGTAGTATACTAGTAGCAAAACTCAAGTCAAGGTCATTCCTCCTATCTTTTACATTTCTAGTTTTTCAATGAAGTAGATGATATAGGATGAGATCTGATTTGTTGTTAAAAGTTTATTCACGCTATTACCTTGAATCAAGTGTCATGTTATAGGATGAGATCTTAGTTTTTGTTGATGTTGATTCACGATATTACCTTGCCCATTATTCATCTTTCTTGTACTCTTATTTCCCGTTAGAAGCTCAGAGATCAGCAGAACATCACATTAGGGGCTTGCTAGCACTTTGAATTTGTTGGAGGAGGCAAAGAATGTTATTGATTCGAATTCCAAAGGTGGACCAATCTTATATGCAGATCTCATCCAGTTTGTTGTAAGGGTTTTAAATGCAAGTTTCTTGTGTGTTAGGCTTCATGCTTCTGCTAAACAAGTTTTGACCGATTGATATTTCAATATGCTAATTACAACAGCTCTCATTCATTTCATTTCTTTCTAGCTGCAACATTAAAATGAATACACTTTGGAGGAGATTTACCAACAAATTCAGGTTCTTTCTTAATATAATTTGTGAGAGATTGTCTGGTTAATTTACTTATATTGTAACCAACAATAAGCAGTCTCTTAAATGTAACAGTTACTGGAGTCTTTCTATCTTTGACTGTTATTTCTTACCCTTTTTCAGCATTTTCTTTCTAAGGTCTACCTTCATTTAGTGCCCACATTTTGTCAAAGGTAAACTTGGTTTTCAAAGCTAAAACTACACTGATAAGTAAACTATCGAATGTGACAAGCCTAAGACAAATAACTTTAGGAGTTCTCTTAAATATCATAATCCCCTCGGTTAATTTATGTGCCTTGCTGAAAAAAAAATCACCCATTTTTCTTTGGTTTGATACAACACAAAGTCCAGTCAAGTCAACCTTTCTTGCTTCTGCAATTAGCAAATGTGGTGATAATGTAGAGAAAGGAACTTTGTTGTAATCTGCTTATGGTTCTAATGTACAAGTTATCTTTATTCGAATGTATTTAAAATCCCTACTTAATGATGAACATGTATCTTTGAACTCCATGAATTTTCCTTTCTATTACTTAGTGTCATGAAGATCCATTCTGAAATGATGAAACAAAATAATAGAGATGTCGCAAGAGAAAGAGGCCTTGAACACTAGTAGAGGAGAGGCAAACAAAAGAGTGCTTAACCAATTTATAATCTTTTCACAACTAAATATTGTGCAGTCTAATATAATGTTTATTCTTTATCATTTTTGGAGTTGCAACATGAAGATCAGTTTTCTATCATGACTTATGAAACTAGGATCAAAATGAAGAGAAATGCCTATCATTCATTTAGTACATGTACAATTATTCGATTAAGTAGTTGTTTCAGGTTATTCACCTCCAAAAAAGAATGTTGTCCTTAAGATTGATTGTCTATAATTTTCTCTCTGCACAGTGAAACAAATTTGATAGGCTATTTGGGAGTTCAGATGCCTGATCCAGAGGGAAGGGTGCCTTGGGGCGATAAAAGCAAGTGTGCAGGAAATGAAAGACGAATTTCAAAGGTGTCGGCTTGGTCACTCTCCAGGTAAAAGACTAGTTATTTTGGACAACATTTGGACCTAGGTATGGTAACATCTTCTTTTTGGGGCACCAATAATTTTGGAAAACTAAAATACAACCAACTAGCTACAGCTTAAATATCGCCAATGAACTTCTTTAGTGGCGACTTTATGGGTTTTTGTGGGGACTTTTATTGCCACTAAAAGTATGATTTCTTGTATTGGATACTCGGACTTTTAAAAAATGTGAATAGATTCTTGTCGAATTTTCCAAAGTAGTGTATTTTTGCAAAATTCGACACGGATGTGTCATCAAAAGTGAAGAGTCTGTACAACTTTGATTTAAGGTCATGTGAATGTGTACTTAAATTTTAATCCAAGTATATGTTTAGGAAAGAATATACAAAACAAAAGTTGTTGTGTGAGATCATGTAGGTAAATTTTTGTTGTTGTGTTATAATAAGAAGTTTTACCCTAATATTTTTGTTTAGATATATATTCTCTATGGATAAAAAGACTAAAATCGAACATGCAAGTGATTTTCGTGTTCCATGGTAATATGAAGCTTGCATATAGTTTGTCTTTTATTGACATTTGATTTCAATATTTCTATGTTGTTCGGTACCTTACTGATCAAAATGATTTTAGCTTTGTTGTTGGTAGCCTTTTGGAGAAATTTTTTTTTTATGTGTCGTCTTCTGGGAAGAAAATCTTATGCAGGACTTGGAATAATTCTATAGCCACTGAAATAACTTGTACATTTGTATGAATACATACTACTATATATTGATTTTTTTCTAATTTTTAATTTCATTTTGAATGTGTAGGATAATGTGGGTGATGCAATTTTAAATGGTGGCCACAAGTCAATTCAATCGATTGAAGTTTATCATGAAGATCTTTTTGAACAATTACGTTCAAATTTACTTGTGATTTTGTGGAATTCGCACATCTTGAAATATTGTTTTATTACTGTGTAGTAAGATGTTGATTTCTCAAAGTTTAATGCAAATATGTATATTTTTAAATTATTATTTTTGAGTTATTAATTAGGTAATGTAGTTCTTGCGATCATCTAGATGTAATTTGTGAGTATATAGACATCAATTATGTGGATCATTGATCCTAGATTTTGACACGTATATTAGTTTAGGCTACACTTTATAAAATGTTGCTTTAGAAGTTGTAACAAATGATATGTTTTGGAAGTGGGTCTATGAGGTAGAAAAGGCCACACTTAAAAGTGTAGTTATAGGTCATTAAAAGTGTTGCCATATAAGGTGCTAAAAGCGTGACCTTTGTACAGTATAGGCCACACTTATTAGGCGTGGCTAAGAAGGCAATACTTGAAAAGCGTGGCCTTAGGTCAAATGTTAAGCTTGTTTAGGCCACCCCTTAAAGTGTTGCCTAAAGTCCAAAAGTGTGGCCTTAGATAAAAGGCTACACTTTTTATTATTTTAGGCCACACTTTTCTGGGGTGGCAAAAGGCCTAAAATGTTGTAGTGCAAGCATGAATATTTTTTTTACAAAATTCAACTTTTATATTTTAAAAATATTTTAATCTCAAATTCTACTTTTTGAAATATTTAAAATTTGAAAACATAATTCTTAATTATGTATTAAAAGTTGAAATCATAATCTCTAAATTCAGACCATGAGTAACTTTTGTAGGACCATTAGTAGTGTAATTCAACTTGGTTTAAATTTAGTTTTGTATCTTTTCAGATGACATATATGAGTCATCCCAAAAGTGCATTATATTGGGAAATATAGTACTATATATATAGTATCTTAATAAGTTGTTGAGTATTGGTTACACTTTGTTGTACCTATGAATGAATTTTGATCAATCACACAAATATTCCTATCCCACAAATTCCAAATTTAAAGTAGTTTTTTGAAAAATATATTTAATAAACTTGACCAAACACTAATTATTGATCAAGAATGTTTTATTTATTTATTGGTCAACGAAAATTATTTCTCCAATTTTTTTTAAAAAAATAAATTGATTTAATTTTTTTTTCTAGGTTTATTATTATGAGTAGAAAAAATATCTCTGTTCATATATGATCTCTTGTCTGACTTTGGATTTGAAAGCAACCGTATGTTTTTCTCCCATTAATGAAAGCAAGTGTATTTTTTCTTTCAATTTGCAAGCAACTGCATATTTTTTTTCCTGTTTATAAATATGAAAGCAACTGTATTAAATAAAGTACCAAAATAGCTACACAATATTTTCGTCCATAATGCCATGCACATAATGAAATTCAACTACGAATATTTAAAAATAAAAAATTATATTTAAATAATGCACTTAAGTTATGATAATAACTTCAAAAGAGATTGTCTTTTTATATTCACACTCTTTTTAGTCTATGAGGGATTAAATTACTTAACAAATACACTCGTTTCTTTTGGTAACATAAAATCATTAAACTAATTTTATGTGTACATTTATTTATAACAAGTAGATGAAATCTAAACTTCAGATTTCACTATACATAGATAAGTTTTTTTCTTCCCAGTGTCTGTCACTATAATCAGATTATTTTTTTCCCATCTGGTGTCCGGAGCTGACGTTGGAGCTCCAATTAAATTCGAGTTGCGCACTGCAGGACTCATTCGGGGGTGGCGCTCCCAACAAGACTTTCTTCATATCTAAGGCTCAAATCCAAAGCGTTTAATTAAAGTAAAGTACTTCCACCGGTGCACCACAACTGACGTTGGTACTATAATCAGATTTCACTATAGTTTAACTTTAAAAATACTCATTTTAAAATGAATTAAATTTAATACTCAATTAAACAGCACATAATTGGTCCTTTTCATAAACTTTTTTTTTTAATTTATGGAAACTATTTTATTAAATTAATAAGTCAAATTTTCAGTTTCCTACTCTACCGGGACTCTGGTACTGTGAGAATAAAATTGCAGAGCATCACCACCACTATAATCGCATTCATCATTTTTCTCAACAAATTCTACTTCCACTATAACTCTTTATTTTTTCATGGATTTCCCGGCTAACCGATTCTCCGGCCTAATTCCGGCGACTTTTAGTGCCGTTGTTAACTCGTCATGTCCTCTTTTAGGCTTCATCGGACGACTTTCTCCGGTCACCGGTGCAGCATCTGCCGCCGCGATTATAATCGTGACCGTCGCTCTACCGGGGTTCCTTTACTTGAAGAATAACAAAAATAAACTTCCTGATGAACGACACAATGTCCGTGGCGAGTCGACGCACGCTCCGACGTTTGACCCTCTTCTGAATGGTAAAATAAAATATGCTTTAATCGAAATAAATTTCTTTAATTTTGGTTGTGATGTTCTGGGTTTTGCCCAAAAGTTGTGTTTCTCTCATGATCAACATGTGCGTTCACACAGGGTTCAGGATGTAGAATTTGACATTGTTATTTTACCGATCCTAAAGAAAAAGGATCACATTTTCACATTGTTTATTGATCCTATTGTTTGATGTTATAAGAAAAATTAGTTTGTGTTTTCTTTTCCACAAATTTGTTCGTGTTGAAGTTGAATAGTTTTCCTGTTTTACCGGTTTGTTTAAATGTTAACTTCAGTTTTTTAGTTGTTGTATCTATGTATTGAAACTATTAGTTGAAGTTCTGCATTTTTGCCTCGAAATACTTAGCTCTTGTTTGGTCATAGATTTCGAAGTTGAAACTTGAAAACTTGAGTTAGTTGCGATTTTTTGAACTTGATGTTGTTATTGGATTTTTTTTTTGAAGTTTTGTGAGTGGGATTCCTAAAAACCCCAAAACTGGAACTTGATTATTTTTTTGATCCAAAATCTGTGGTCAGACGTTAGCTTAGTAGGAGATCCTACTTCTCACACAGTGAAAATGAGCTATCTCAAAGAGTAAGGATAGTGGTTCTTGGGATATGACCGAATTCTGTGGGACTCTCATTGCATTCTATCCGAGTGAATTTCACATCTCAACTGTTTTGTGTTATAATTATGACGAGGAGGGTGATGTGTTGTCTCTTCTTGTTGATGTAAGGTTATTTACTACGAATTGCAGATTGACTTAGAGAAACCTGATCAAGTTTCCAATTTAATCTGTTATAAGTCACCCTTAGAACTTCTGTACCCTTTTTTATGAGCTTGAACTAATTTTTTTCTCATTAGGTGATTGGTTATGTTGATTATAGGCCTTGATCTTCTACATAGGTAGGTGATCATTCTACAGTGATGTTAAGTTGCCAAGATGATCATTTTGTATTCATTGTTTTCTGCTTTGAGTTAATCTCATGCGGTGCGATTAAAACAATGATTTGGAAGAGGGGAAATCAAGAAAATGATGGGGTACATTGTTATTGCTTAAAAGCAAAGCAACAGACCATTTAAAGAAGTTGAAGTTAGATTATCAGATGTACAAAATTACAGTCTGGATATGAAGTCTTCTTTAGACTCATGTCACACAAGGCTCGATAAAATTCATTATAGTTCCTCTCCAAGTCATTCTTGAAATTTTACTTCAGTAAGTAATGCTCAAATATATTTATTATATCCTCGACATCCTTAACCTATTGGCATTTTGAAATGAAGTTTAGTTTTGTTCACATACCAAGTATTTCTTCTGTAATCCACGTGCTTATAATCATGTTGCAGAATTTGTTGGAGGACGTATAAGTGAGATAGATGTCTATTTTGATGCTGAATATGCAGAAGAGTTACAACTTCATGAAGTTTTAGTAGCCTCACTTTACACTGGTCAAAGCAGTAATCATGCATCTGTATCTGCTCAAGGACTTTTGTCTGAAACAGAGATGTTGAATCTTGACAAAGAAGATGAAGATCAACTTAACAACTTCTGTGAGATTTGCTTGGATGACAAAGAAGGATGGGAGATGTTTAAAAATTACAGTTGTTCTCATTCCTTCTGTTATGAGTGCACTGGCAAGCATATTATGGCAAGGATATCAGAGAAAGCAAAAGTAATTGGTTGCCCTGGAATAAGTTGTGGTGCTGCTCTCGATGTTAATGCTTGTAGGTTCTTGATTCCCGAAGAGGCACGGATCCAGTGGGATGAATCGGTATGTCAGTCAATGATTCTCGATTCCCAAAAACTGTACTGCCCTTTCCGTGATTGCTCAGCCCTGTTGGTAAATGATTCTGGGGAAAGTATAGAAAGGAATAAATGCCCTTTGTGCAAGAGATCATTCTGTGCAGTATGTCGAGTTCCATGGCATTCAGAATTTACATGCAAAGAATTCCTGAAACTGAATGCCAAAAAGAGGGGCAAAGGGGAAGAAATGGTGAAGATACTTGCCAAGAAGAAAAACTGGCAGAAATGTCCTAATTGTAAAGTATTTGTTGAGAGGACAGAGGGATGCATTCACATGACTTGCCGGTGTGAACATGAGTTCTGCTACAAATGTGGTGCAAAATGGACTGCTGCTCATTATTGCCGTAAAAAATGATCTGACGTTTGAAGCTCCATAAGATTTCTCCGGGAAGTGACAATTGATGAAACTTCCTTTAGGGTCACTTTAGCTAATAGTGTAATAAGTAGGTCGCAATTACTTGAATCTTTTGGAAGGAAACAGAAATGTTTATGATGTACATAACAATCTGGATTTTTAGCTTTTGTCCATGCTAAGTACTAACTAGCAGTGTTGGGTAACATAATAGCTTTTGCTTTATTTACAATTTTCTGAAGAAACTCTTTCTTGCCTTACCATGGGCAACAGAGGACATAGTAAGTTTTCTTATCTTGAAATTGGTAAGGAAAATAGTATACTTGAGCTCGAGGGTGTATTGAAAACAACCTCTCTACCGTCACAAGATAGAGGTAAGGTTTGCATACAGGAAAATTGTAGTACTACTGTTTTTAGATTTACTCTTTCTATTGAATTGTTTGAAACCAATCTACTAAAACTATTATTATTCTATAGAGGTTTCACTAGTGTTTCAATTGACCCCCTATGGGCCTAACCCAAGTGATTTGCATTCTTAGATATCTTCTACTTAGGAACAGTCCACTAAGAATGCTCCTCTTTTAAC